TAATACTTTTCGAAACAGTCCACATTTCTTTCACGAACACGTAAACTTCTGCTAAGGCAGCTTCAGTGCGGGACATCTCCACCCAAAGTTCAGAAGGACAGTTGAGGTCGTGGAAGGAAACCATGAATCTGTTCTGACCAAATGAAAACCTGCTCACAAATGCGGGCACATGAGAAGACAGAATGGGGGGGTCCTTCGGCCCCCACCGATGCGCCCGGCGGCGTGGGCCCCTCGCCTGATGGCTGTCACTTCTGGCTGAGGAGCAGACCCGCCTGAGAGGCCTTTGGAAACGCCCCGTCCGGTCCTACCAGGGGCCAGCCTGATGGGAGTGGTGGGGACAGGTCCCGGGTGGCGGCAGGGACCCCAGCCTCCAGTCATCCAACAGCAGGGTGCATGGACACCACCGCCTCCTCGGATTATCCACACCCCGTGTGGAAATGCAGCAAACACCCAGAATGGGATGAGAGGAGCAGTGAAACGTACTAGACATAGATTTATTTTTCTTCACTCCTCCCTTCCTGATGTCCCCCAGCGGCCCCTCCTCAGACACTGGGGTGTCTTTAACCTGACAGTGTCTCCCACCACCCCACCCCCACACCTGTGCAATAACCCACACGCCCAGTGAAGGGAAGGAGGAGAAGTCACCCCCAGGGTCCTGGGCACCAGCAGGAGCCCGAACATGAATTATTCATCACCCACCCCCCCCCCCCATCAGGCTCCGGAGATGGAACCCACAGTGCAGACTCAAAGTCCAAAAATGTGGGAAAGTTTATTTATTTCTCCAAAACATTCCTGATTTGTAATGTGCTTTCTAAAAATGTTCTAGCTGACCAAGCCCCTGCTATATTTAGCCGCAGCATTTAAAGAAATGTCCCTTCCGCTTTATAAGGCTATAAGGCGGGCTATGAAATCCAGGAGTGTCGTGAGCTCTGCTCCCTGGGTGGGTCCCTTTCTCCCCAGGAGAGGGGTGGGGCCTCCCCTTGGCCAGCAGGAGTGCCCTGTGCGGAGGGCAGAAATAAAGACTCGCATTCATTCCCAGGGCCCCTGGGGTTCACAATGGCTAGACAGCCCGCCCTGGGAAGCCCCTCTAAACTGTGCAAAGCGAGGAGACGCCAAAGGGACCTCGCTCTCCGTGGCCCGCAAAATTGGGCCTCCCGTGGTTATCCTAGGATCCCCCGCCACACACAGCTGCTTTCCTTTGCTTTTGGTTTCATGTTCAGACGGCTGGATCATCTCAGGAGATGTGACATGGCCACGAAGAGATGAAAACCCGGAGAAGTCAGCAGCCCCCAGGAGTCTGCTGATACCTCCCCAATTACATAACGTGAGCGGAGCTGAGGCGCGAACGGGCTCATAAAACTGAAGCGTTTAGATTAGAGGCTACGTCTGTATGCAGACCTCCCATTTCCTGATACCTTTTCATATATCAGCTAACTTAATTCTGACAACAGCCCTGTGCAGGGGGCAATTTGATGACGGCCGGTTTGAGACGGGGACTGGGGCGGGCACGGCTCTATGAACTTGTGCCCGTCACCCACTTTCCCCCTCGGGACAGCTCTGTGAAGCAGCTACTGACACCGTCCCCATTTGTACAGGTGGGAAAGTTGAGGCACAGAAGAGGTAGGTCACTTGGCCGATGTCACACAGCATGAAAGGGCAGGGCAGGGCTGATGGTTTCTGCCTGGTGGACCCCGAGGACACGCTCTTAACCAGGGTAACATACCCCTCCCTTCCCACCCCCACCCAAACTCAACCTACTGAATGAATGGTACTAAGTCAACAAGGCAGTAATGAGAGGGATCCTTCCCAGCTCCTGGGTGTGTCTAGAGAGACCTGGAAAAATGCAACACGGTACGTGGGGACCAGTTTACCGGGGAAAGATGTGTGACGGCAGCATGCTGGAGAGGCACGACGTTTCTAATAATTTACATTGCACGTCATGAGGACCCGAGTCATGCTTAAAACTTAGTGTTGTCCAAGGTGACCACGGTCCTGTGGACACCAGAGTGGCCCTGCACCCTTCCAAGAAGGCTTGACCCGGATGCTGTCCTGGGGCCCAGACGCTTCATCTGTGCCCCCTCCTGCTCTGGACGTGGGCCGGGGGATGCCCTCACCAGCGTGTGGACCACGCATCCCACAGGAGGAGAATGTACCGGCCACGTGCAGGACACTGTTAGTAAAAGGGGACTTTGTTTTAGATTCTCAGTGAACTGATAGATATCCGCGTACAGTCATTCACAGCCCCCAGCGACTCAGGCTCGAAGCTGTGAAGGCAGAGACTGTATGGCCAGGAACAGGGCCCTAGGGAGCTAAGTCCAGACCCAGGCCCTGCCTACTTCAGAGGGTCTCAGATGGGGGACTCGCGTCACCTCTGTAGGAAGTTTGGCAGATGGGAGAATCCAGTCTCCTGGACGGCCAGCTGCAGCTTTCCGTGTCGCCCTGCTCTTAGCTCCCGGACCAACAGTGGGGTCGGGGCAGCCACCACCGACGGCCCTGCAGGAAGGACCCCTCGACTGTGCTGGGCCCTCGCTGTGTGCGCTGCCCCCACCACAGTGCATCCTCCCCTGTCCTGTCCTGGCAAGTTCACCCCTATGTACCGCTGTGCACATACCTGGTTTCTGCCTGACCCCGAAGAACCCCACGTCTAGGGTTCCTCAGTAAGGAACCTCTGGATAAGGACAAGTGTAGCAGAGAACTTGCCACTTCGCTATGCAGACCCATTTTTCAAAACCGCTAGCAATGTGCATCCAAAGAATTTTACTTTGCTTTTCCAGCAAACACACGCGCTTTCTTTCTAAAGAATAAACCTTGCTTATCCTCACGTGCATTTGTTACCCTGTGGAACAACCCCTGCTTCGTGGAGGCAAGATGTTTCCAGCCACCATGAAGACGGGAAGAGTATACAAAGTCGTGGCTCTCGCTTGAGAACGGCCAGCCGCTGGAAGCGTCAGCCACGTTTATGACGTTAGCATTAGTCTACGAGTGTCTGAGCAGACGGGCTCTGGCTTTCAGCCGTGACAATAACAGCACACGTGGCTAATTCTTTAACCCACACAAGGATACACGCCGACCACGCTTCGTGAAATGGGAGAGACCACACGTGGAGTCCTGCTCAGAGAGATGCGATCAGATCCGAGAATGGCAAATCACATCCTGTTTTGGTTCTGGAACACTTTAGGGGGCATTTGGGACCCAGGGCGGCCGTGAGCTACCACGAGAGCCAACGGACATCTAAAACCAAAGCAGAAAGCCTTTGCAAAGTTCTCGTATCCTTGTAAAAGTCGTACAAGTAAAGGTCTCGATGTTGGTGTGCCCGCCAAGATTCTTTAATGAAGTCTTTGTTATTTTCATTATAATGGTGCAAAACCCCAATTTTCCCCGGCTTGAACTGTACCAAAAAAGAAAATCTTTCTGAAAAAATCTATAGTTGTGTTCGCTTGAAAGGATTCAGCACTTGATCTGAGATCATCTGTCCCACTTTTATGCAGAAAAAGAGGAATTTCTGAACATTCTGTACACAGGTGCCCACACACACACGCACATATACAAATACACGTATCCATATATACACCCATGCGCATGTATTATTACACACTTACGTATGTATCTTTGTACATCGCACACCTGCCATATCCCCATTTCATGATCAGTGCACACATCAGTGTGCATAACGCGATCGGTGTGTGTCTCTGTGGGCGTGTGCACACTGAACTTGAACCAAAGACCTTTTTCAGAAGCCAGAATCTGTTCGCTTTGTTTAGATGGGAGCACAGAAGTGCATCTCCAGGTTGCCTAAGAGTAGAACGGTAAGGTTGCTTCTGGTCTACACTAAATACAGAGGGGAGGGGTGCCTGGGTGGCTCCGTCGGTTGAGCGTCCGACTTCAGCTCAGGTCATGATCCCGCGGTTTGTGAGTTCGAGCCCCACGGCGGGCTCTGTGCTGACGGCTCGGAGCCTGGAGCCTGCTTCGGGTTCTGTGTCTCTTTCTCTGTCTGCCCCTCCCCTGCTCACCCTCTCTCTCTTTCTCAAAACTAAAGACACATTTAAAAAAAAAAGTTTTTAAATACAAAGGTGAGTTCGCTTTAACTACGAGTAGAAACTTTTTTTCTTACTGATCTGTAATTTGGAGGCCGTGATTATAACCACGATCACAACTGGAGCAGCTGTTTGGGTTCCTAAGACCCACCCACGGGTCCTCTCTTTCTTCAGTGGGAAGGAACGTTCACGGGACTGTACCGATTCTGCAGATTCCATCACCCTACTGTCCGTTCTGTCAGCCTTCCCAAACCAGATGAGTGAGGGGATTAGGTAACCGAAGCTCTCTTTACATAACTATAAACTCTATTACAAAGCAGATACATACTCCTGCCTTTTTTTTTTTCCTGAGCCATAAAAATAATGTTTACCTTATACTTATTGGAGTTGTAACTCTAACATACCATCCTTCAAAAATGGCCGTAGTCAGGGGCGCCTGGGTGGCGCAGTCGGTTAAGCGTCCGGCTTCAGCCAGGTCACGATCTCGCGGTCCGGGAGTTCGAGCCCCGCGTCAGGCTCTGGGCTGATGGCTCAGAGCCTGGAGCCTGTTTCCGATTCTGTGTCTCCCTCTCTCTCTGCCCCTCCCCCGTTCATGCTCTGTCTCCCTCTGTCCCAAAAATAAATAAACGTTGAAAAAAAAAAAAATGGCCGTAGTCGATTATTGGCTTCTCCAGAAAACAGCCACCATAAATTAAGAGAACACATGAGAGAGCAAATCAAACCCAAAGAGGAGAAATTACAAACAAAAACAAAAAACATAGCGTATACAGTGGAGTTGCCATCCGTGTTGGGGCAGGAAGCACTAGCCCCGGGCTGCTCTGCTCCTGTGGTGTGGTGAGGGCGCCCAACGCTCAGAAGCCAGAGCCCCGGAGATGCTGACAGGGCTCCGAAATGTAGTCCCTGACTCCTCTCTCCTGTTACACTGTTTGCTTATTCCCCCCAGTAACCCACTGAATCAGTCACTGAGAGGTTAATGAAAAGACAACTTTATTCACAGGGGCTGAGACTCTGGGATAACAACATATCGAGACAGGCCTGCCACTGCCCCGTGCGTTAATCGCAGTGAGCCTGGATGTCAACAGTGGGATCTTGTCAAAGTTCTTAAAATCAGGGATACTCTCCAGCTCACCAAAATGTTCCCACCAACCTGGGTAGAACGTGCTCGAGGAAATTTATGCATCGGTAGCACATGGCTTTAGGGATAAATTCTCGGGAAGCCAACTCTGTGCTTACTAATAATTAAATGACTATGCTCGTCTGAAATGTCCTTCCAAATATATTAGCACTAGGCTCTCCTGTTGTAAAGCTTGTGTTCATTTTTCTATAAGTCCTGGAAATCATTTTAAAAGTTATTTGGGAGATCTATCTCAGTTTACCTCCAGCACTCATGACTTATTGTGCCTTTTCCCACGTCAGATAAAATTAAGGTAACCTGGAGGCTCAGAAAACCCAGTTTCCCACCCAATGCAACCCAAAGAGAGATACGGTAAGAGGTTAGATGCGCTTCCCGAAAGTTCCAAGCTGAACTGGGCTGTAAAAATCTCCATTTTCTTAAGCAGATCTTTGTTGCAGAGCACTCCCCCCCCCGCCCCCGCCTTCCTGCTCCCCACCCCCACCCCCCCCAGATTTCCAGTCACCTCCATAAGGTGTTTATTTAGCTGCAGGCTCTAGGCCCAAGGGTAGAGGCTTAGAGAGAGGATGTCTGATAGAACCCTCCCCCTGAGCCTCCTGTTCTTTGGGGTCCAGAGAGGCACCCTCCAGCAGATATCATCAGAAGATTCCTTTTCCCTGCCCAGCATGACCCATCTCTCCCAGTATCTGCTTGTGTGTGTGTGTTTGTTTCCATCCAACTTTCTTAAGGAAAAGCGGTCCTTTACCACGTAATTCTGGAAAACGCAGCAAAACCCAAACCCAGAGCTTGAAAAAAAACATGCACATGGAAAGTCTTGTGTTGTCTACGACACCTTCCCTCCTCGTCACACACTTCCAGTGTCCCCTGCTACCTTTTGATCCCTTAAAAACAGAAGCAACAAAACGGGATGCCTGCGAATGTTGGTAACATGTCTTGGAGGTCATGAGAATTGACTGGCAAGCTGTCGTAACACAACAAAACGCTATCGTATAGAGTGCACTTTCTTAACAGGGGTTGTTAACATAGAATTTTCACAGGGCCATCGTTGTAGGAAAAAGTCAAGCATCTAGCCAAAGAATATAGCATATCCCCAGTAAAAATGTCTAGAAAGAAAAAAAAAGAGAGAGAAATTCTCTATTTAAAATAGAAACGTGATTTCTTAGCTGTCCACCTGGACATTGGTCTTAAATCCTCACCGGGCCCTAGATCTCGTGAAGAACCTGAAAAACAGAGGTCACTCCTGGTGCCCCCACACTGGGACTTCAGGGACAAACCCAGCTGTGGACACCCATCACCCCACAGATTCAAAGCCAAGACCTGGGCCACAGGGACAAACAAGGGAGCTGGCCACCGTCAGATAGATGGTGGTTCTGTTTGAAACCACCCTCACCGCATCTGTGGGTCCTGCTGTCGGGCAGTCTGGGCCCTTGCTGCTCTGGACACGCAGGACCCGAGGTGGGGAGTGGGAGATCATGCCCTTAGACTGCCCTGAGGTCAAGGAAGTCTCCTGCTGTCTCCGCAGGAGGTCTGAGATGCCCAAGTCCTAGTGGGACGGGGGTCTTTTAAATCTCCGAAGGTGCTCCGGGTTCTGGGAAAGTCCACCTCACCTTGGAGGAGGCAGGAGCCCCTGCCCACCTGCGCGCAAAAGTTGGTAACACTTCCCGGGATCCACACGTTGCAGAAGAAAAGCTCGTTTTTTAAAAACCGTGACTCCTTCCCGCCGGTGATGGGACCCCGCCGCTCACAAGCTCAGACCAGGGTAGGGGAAGGAGCCGCCACCGTTTGCTTTACTGAAGTGAAGCACCGTGTCTGGAAGCTGCAGAGGGAAATACGAGAGGAAAGGGATCCCGAGCTGGTAAAAGCCGCCCTGGACGTGCGGGTCGAGCATCAGGGAAGCGTTGAAAGGCGGAGGGAGGCTCGCAGAGGTGGCCAGAAGCGAGGCACCCAGACAGCTGCGGGGCGCAGGCTTGGCGCCCCCCGGGAGCTCGGCCCCTCCGGTGGGCTCCTGGCCCTGCCGTCCCGCCAGGATGCTGTCTATGCTGAAGCTCTTGGACTTGTCGGAGCTCTTGGGAGAGCTGTGGGAGGCAGGGCGCGGAGGGGACCCCAGACCATCCACCGTGCGCGCCGGCTGGCCCGTGGCCAAGGCCGCCGCCGCCGCCGCCGCCGCGCCCTGGACAGC